TGAGAAAACTGACGTCGTGTGTCTTTCTTTCACAGCCTGCCTTTGCGCGAGCCATTCAGACGTCCGCAGACACCACTCAACTGCAAGACACCATCGAGGACCACTCAAAACCGTTTACCGTAAAACTCCATGAAGAGTCCTTCCGCGCATATCGATGCGAGACTCCATCTTTTGAGGTTGAGGTGAAAAAGGATGAGCTCCTGAAAATGTACAAGGACATGCAAACGATGCGCCGGATGGAAATGGCTGCTGATGCCCTTTATAAGGCCAAGCTTATCCGCGGTTTCTGCCATTTAGCTATTGGCCAGGTATTTAGTATTCTCAGCTGAATAACATAGTATTGACCATGTTCCCAGGAAGCCGTCTCCGTTGGTCTTGAGTATGGTATTAAGCCTGAAGACCGTGTCATTACTGCATACCGGTGTCACCCCTTCGCTGTTATGCGTGGTGGCACCATTAAGGGTGTTATTGCAGAGTTACTTGGGCGCCAGGCCGGCATGTCTCACGGCAAGGGTGGCTCTATGCATATCTTCACTCCCTCGTTCTTTGGTGGTAATGGTATCGTCGGTGCCCAGGTTCCCGTAGGAGCTGGTATCGCGTTCGCACAAAAGTATCTGGGCAAGAACACCGCAACATTTGCTCTCTACGGTGATGGTGCAAGTAACCAAGGACAGGTGTTTGAGGCATTCAACATGGTATGGGTGTTTTAAGTCATGAATAGACTCCGTCTGATCAATACACTTGCACATAGGCTAAACTTTGGGATCTCCCCGCTGTCTTTGTTTGTGAGAACAACAAGTACGGAATGGGTACCTCTGCCGAGCGCAGTTCATCCAACACTGAATACTTTACTCGTGGCGACAAGATTCCCGGTCTCCAGGTGAACACATTTCCTCTCGTCCTTGCGAGACTTATGTATTCACTTATCTTCGAATGTCTTTAGGTCAATGGCATGGACATCATCGCTTCCAGACACGCTGTGCAATACGCTCGCAAGTGGGTAACGGAAGGCAATGGCCCACTTCTTATGGAGTTTGTCACTTACCGCTACGGCGGTCACTCGATGTCCGACCCCGGTACCACTTACCGTACCCGTGAGGAGGTTCAGCGTATGCGTAGCACCCAGGATCCTATCCGCGGTCTCCAGCGCTACATCGAGGAGTGGGGTCTTGCCACTGAGCAGGAGCTCAAGGTTCGTTGACATTCGCTTCTCATTGAATTATGTTCATGATCTTGTTCGCATAGCAACTTGACAAGGACGCCAAGGCCGAGGTTGACCAGGCTGTCGAGGAAGCTAAACAATCCCCTGAGCCATTGACCAAGGACCTCTGGACAGATATCTACTACAAGGGCACGGAACCATCATCCATGCGTGGTCGTGAGCGTGAGGAGGTGCACCACTACTGATTGACGGGCTTCTTGTTAGTAATACATTAGACTTTATCACTTGCTACGTTCTACGTTAGGTATATTCATTGATGGCCCTTCACCGGTGCACCAACGAACGCGCTATATTTGCACCATGAATGCTTTGATTTCGATGTACAAGTGCAAGAAAGTTTCGTGGGTTTGGTGCTTGCAAATGAATTCTGAGGTCTTTGCCTATGTGTGGTGACTTTGCCGAACTGAAACTGCATGTCCGTTCAAGCACGCTCGCCTGTACCTCCACCCAGTTTCTTGTCTGTTCCGTCTCGAAATGCAGGCACCCCAGTTTCTGCATCGCAGACTCGGAATCCAATAACAATCCGCCTGCGCAAAATCTTGGGTACAAACTTTACCGATGAAGCAACAACAGAAGCGCTCCAGACGCTGTCAGAGCTGTATGGAACCCAGTCTACAGTGTCAGTATCAGACTCCAAAGCGCAGACAAACGGTACAGATTCAGACGATAATTGGAGTGATGAAGATGTAGACGTTGGGCTAGCCGTCCAGGACGACCGTGCATGCTTGAACGAGACCGCGTCGAGGGCACGCAAGAATCTTCGCCGAGATCTGGAGAACAAACTTGCACAAGGAAGCCAGCAATTTCTTCAAGCATTTAGCGAAGTGGATCAAGTGTGTGATGGTCGGACGCATCATTGAGAGTCGTCTAATCAAGCTGTAGAAACTTGATGAGCTGCAGAATCACGTTGCTGCCATGCGTGTTGCCTGTGACGAAGCGGAGACGCAGCTGAGGCTATCAAACGAAGCAAGCCAGTCTCTACTTGATCGCGCGGAGAGCTTGAGGAGTGAAAGGTATGATATTTGTGCCTTGGAAGGTATTTCTACTAACAGATCATACAGGGAGGAGGTTGAAGCGCGCAAATCTATTGTCATGCTCTTCCTAAACCGCTTCACGCTAAATGATGAAGAGGCCGAAGCTATAACCTCACGAGATGTTCCCATTGGCCCCCGCTTTTTTGAGGCAATGAATAAGACAGAGCGTATCCGTAATGATTGCAGAGTACTCATGTCAGGCGAAGACGGACCGACGAAAGCTGGGTAAGTGACATCCTGTAATTCCCAGTGATATGATGTGAATAGCACTCTTGCAGACTGGATATCATGGCGTCCACCTCTTCATACCTTGAACAAGGCTACGAGAAGATATATCGCTGGTGTTCCTTTCAATTCCGCCAGATGGGGCGCGACGCCCAGCTGGAAGTTGACTCGACTATGCAGCAAGCCATTTCTCGCCTCTCTCAGCGCCCAGAGTTACTCTCGTATGTACCCGCTATTGGTAGATTCGTAATCTCTTCAATATCTGTCCACAGTGAAGCTCTTACTTTCCTGACGCAGACCCGCCAAACAGGTCTGCTGAGTGCATTTCTGGATGCATTGACTCGAGGTGGCCCGTCAGGTCTTCCGCGTCCCATTGAATTGCATGCACATGATCCTATCAGATATGTTGGTGATATGCTTGCCTGGGTTCACCAGGCTATCGCCGCAGAATGTGAATTTCTGGAAAGCCTGTTTGGTCTTGGAGGGCAAAACGACGACAGCACAGCAAGGAGAATGGTTGGTGCTGTACGGACATTCAGAGGGAGTGAAGAAGAAGGATGGGTTAAGGAACTGCTTAACTCTGCAGTAACAAAGTTGTGCGTGCCGCTCAAGGTCTGTCTGCCAGCCATTGGTCATACAACAAACTGGATTTCATGCGTGCTCCTAGGTGCGCGTGCAGCAGACTGTACGTTCGCAAGAAAGTAGTATCGTCTCGTACAAAGTTGCAAATCTACTGCAATACTACATGCTTACGATGCGGCGCACTATCGGAGAGGACGCTCTTCTGTCGACGACTCTGAGCGAGTGAGTTGCTTCCTCTTGCCCACTTGGTACATACTTATTCTTCTTGGTAGAATCACAGATGTGAGTTACAAGGTTTTCTTCGACGCTATCGAAGCCCATGGTCGTGCACTCCTTAGAATTCCCTTGGTAAGTTATTTACAATGAATTGCTTCATGTTTTCAAGCAATTATCAGGACTCAGACGACCCATCTTTGACCCCACCTCTCCCAATTCTAGAGCATGCCCAGCTGCTCCGTGAAATCATGCAGGTTTATGATTCCTCTCTTCTTGATGACACCACTGCAGAGCCCGGACAAACTTTTAACCGCATCCTAGATGTGATGCTGGATCCTGCCATGGAAATGTGTGCCGCTGCGGCAGAGGAGAAGGCGAGGTATCGCCCACAGTGGGATCGGGCGGTGTTCGTGCTTAATTGTTGGTGTTATCTCCAGGTAGGTTCACACTCCTGTTGGACTCCTATCACAGCTAGCTAATCAAAGTAGAATGTGCTGGAGGCGTTCGAGTTCACTTCAGAGAAACGTCACACCATCCAGGAAAAAATCGACGAAAGGGTGAAGTCTTTGGAGGACGAGCATGTACGTTTATTTCTTCATACTATGTCCAATTTTACTCAGCTGTCATACAGTACGAGAACATTCTAAGAGATGCCTCGTTATATGACACTGTCACCATTATCAAGTCCAAGTCACCTTCCGTAAGTTCACTATCTTATTCACAACTCGTGCATGTCTAGACCCGATTACAGGATCCGCTGTCTCATGTGCTTCCTGCGCAGAAGCTGCAACCTACCCTTGCGAGATTCTCTCTTTGGCTCTCCAGTCCCGAAGTTGTGCATTCCCCACGTCTATCAGCGTTAACATCTCCATCCCTGCATTCTACCATCCACCGCGTGTCTCTGGCTCGTGTGACAAAAGCCTATGCACAACTCTGCGAGGAAGTGAGGAAACCGGAGAATCGATATGAAGCAGCGAGTACCTTGTTGGGCATGGAGAGGCCGTTTGGACAGGCTGGAGTGTTGTGGGCCATTTTCGGGTTAGAGGAGGAGAGTGAGGAATCCGCGGCGGACTGAGCTGATTCACTTCAAGGTGATCCGCAGCGTTTGTTAACGGCATGTCTGTATTGAGTTAGATACATAAGATCGTGATCACAATCAGACGCCGTCCTACAGATCTACGATATAAGTACCCTTGTACTATTTCAAAACAGTTTGAGGGTAGGCATTTTCCGTTGAACAGATACAATATATCACTGCAAGTAGGCACGTTTATTAGCACATTGCCGTCTCTCCGTCACTGGTAGGATCCCAAATCATATTCAAGAATAACCAATGAATATGTGCAGAGGGATAACATATCAAAAGAACTGGGGATCTCTTCAAGCCCACTGAATCACGGCAGGACGTACTTCCTGATCCCATCATCCTGGCTCCTCTAATAGGGCTGATACATGTAATAGGGCACACGGAGAAGATGTCTCTTACATACATGACTTTCCCAGATTCCACTCCGCAGTGAATAATCAAAGGCGGACTCGGACTTATGTGACTTTCCTGTTCTATTTTTGACGGCCGCGACTCGTCAGCGATGACTCGCCTCTCTCCGAAGTGCATCTTGAAGTCAGATCAAGTCCGAGTTGGAAGCAGGACTGAGTACTGAGTTGTGGAGGTATCATACTTAGTATCTTGACGTAGAGGGAGCGCATACGTAAACACTCGTGGTGACTATGGGGAATTAAATCATGACGCCCATGAACGTCCTGTTACAGGCAGATTGTCTACGTACTGTGGGCTCATATTAGCACGGGAAACTAAATCGATCTGGCACTGAAAGGGGGTACAGATATCTATGAAACGGAGTATTGGGGTAGACTACTTCTTTGCACGGCACAGGAAACCTCGTGTTAGTGGATTAGGGATCAGCGGTAACATAATAAGGAGGACTTTGAGTGATATGAATTGATAGTCACAATTGCGTGCTGCGGAACGTAACAGAAAAGTATAATAGATGTCATTGTTGCATGCGGTGCGCCTACGAAAACACCTTTTCGTGAGAGTTTTGATGATGGGAAGGGCAAACAAAGTAAACGTTCCCTGACAGTCCGTAGGCGCGAGCTCGAATGTTCTCGAGCTGCGGCTATTAAAGCATCTTCTAGATTGCGAAAAACCGCACGATATTAGAGTTCGAGTGAGTCATGAACGTGTTGAACTCTAGTCAGAAGGTTACACGGTTCGAAAGCTAGCGATCGGAGAATAGATGGTACGAACCGCCTGGATAAATACTGAGGCAACAGGTGAATGGAAGTTCGTTCAGTTGACACCCGCAATGCCTCATACTACTATCGTGTTGATTTTCTCCGCTGCCGTCGCAGTCGCGGCAATCGTCGCCAAAGCTTTCACAACCCCAAAGACAAGGATACACAGCAGTGTCCGCGCCGTCAGGACATTACTGAGTCCTCCTGATATCCCTACTCCCGCGTTATTACGCGCAAGATCCATACCAAACCAGCGTTTGGTGAAGGCGCTCGGTATATCGAGCACCTTTGTCAGTGATGATCCCGGCGTCCATGACAACTTCACTCGCGAAGCGAAAGTCCTAATAGGCGCTGTCAGCGCGAAAGATGGATGGTCAAGGCTCGTTGACGTCGCTGAAACCTGCGTGAACAGGTTCCTTGACGCAAAGAGCCTCGACTACGCCACCTTCGTGCAGTCTGTCACGCTCAGTGTCGTATTGGCAGGTCTGCTGGGCACAGATATTGAAGATCTTGACCCCGTGGACGTGGCATTTGTGACAAAGGCCATCAACGACCGTTGGGCACAATCCAAATCGAGCACTACTCTCACTACAGAAGTGCTCGATCGCATCAACCATCACATCATCAGATGGGTTCCAGACCGAACCAATCCTCTCAATCTCATCATCCCCGCATATGAAACAATGTGGCGCGTAGCAGCAATTGCGGTGGTATATTCTAACCGCGATAGTCTGCTACGCGATGCATTTATCTCATACAACGAGAACCCCATTGACGATCAGTTCCGCGCCTTCGCAAACGAAGGGACAGGAGCGCAGCCTAGTGCAGAGGCCATCATCTGTGAGGTTCTCCGACTCCACCCCCCGACTCGTCACATCACTCGTGCCGTGGTCGTCCCATGGTGGAAGCGACCGTTCGTCCCATCCATAGATGTGGCAGACATCGAAGAGGCACACAAATCGCCTCTCTTCGGAAATGATCCAGAATCCTTCAATCCTATGCGGTTTCACGCGAGCCATGCCGCTCCTAAAAGGGACCAGCTGTATGCCTTTGGGCACGGAAAGCTGAAGTGCGTAGCGGCAAGCTGGGCACCACCAGCTGCAGCTGTCATCACCGCGAAAATCATGGCCAAATTGGATGATGTTGCGTTCAAGTTGCAGGAAGGACCATGCATTGGGAAAAGGGAAGGATGGGAGGGTTGGTCGATCCAAAGAGTATAACGAATGTCATGTGACATATATTGGACTCATCAGCGAATCGTTGCTTGTACTGTAAGCTATAGTTAGTCACTGTATGTTTTACCAGGAGGTCATGAGATGCTATGCTATTCGGTTTGTCAGATCAATGTGGTCCATAAGGGGATACTCAACGTTGACAGGAAAGCGATGCTCGTTTGTACTGTTGTGTCTGGCTCAATACAAACGTACATAGCCTTCACGTCAACAGAATCCAAGCGATACTTGTCAAGTTGTGAAAGGACGCAGGCTTTCATCGGACACCAACCGACACTTGCCATGTGGAAGTAAATATCGGAGCTTCAAAAATGTCGGCTTTGGCCGCTTCAGCCACCGACCCAAGGAAGATGCGGAAAATTTGATCAGTTCGCAGAAGTCAATCGATTACGCTCACCGGACACAACCCACACTACATTCCAAGCATAATCGACTACAGTAGTCGAGCCTTGGATACAAAAAATAGACTATACTCATGTCAGCGTAAGCAATCCGTCCTACTGCCGATGCAATTTCGTGTGTTTACTAATATATCGCTCGTGTGGGTTTAGAGAAGAAGCGCTCCAGGATGTTGCAGAGAATGAGATCGAGTCCAACTGGGACCAGGTCGTAGATAAGTGCGTCAAACGGATGCTCCGATCTTGCAGAATCTGATTCTGATGCGGTGTCAAACAGCTTCGACAACATGGATTTGAAGGCTGAGCTTCTCCGTGGTGTCTACGCTTACGGGTAAGTGCATTCAGCCTTTGATCATTGTTATATCATTAATATTTCGTAGTTTTGAGAGGCCCTCCGCGATTCAGCAGCGTGCTATCGTCCCCGTTGTAAAGGGTCACGACGTCATTGCTCAAGCACAATCTGGAACCGGCAAGACCGCCACGTTTTCCATCTCCATCCTTCAGCAGTTGGATATGTCCATCAAAGGATGCCAAGCCCTTATTTTGGCGCCCACCCGCGAGCTGGCTCAACAGATCCAGAAAGTCGTTATTGCACTCGGTGACTACATGAACATCGAATGTCATGCATGTGTTGGTGGTACAAACGTTCGTGAGGACATGGCCAAGCTCCAGGAGGGTGTGCAAGTCGTTGTCGGCACTCCCGGACGTGTATATGACATGATCAACCGGAGAGCTCTCCGCACTGACACCATCAAGATTTTCTGTCTCGACGAGGCTGATGAGATGTTGTCCCGTGGGTTCAAGGACCAAATCTACGAGCTGTTCCAGCTTCTACCGCAGGAGACTCAAGTAGTACTCCTTTCCGCCACCATGCCCGCCGACGTTTTGGAAGTGACGAAGAAGTTCATGCGTGAACCTGTTCGAATTCTCGTCAAAAGGGATGAATTGACGCTTGAGGGTATCAAGCAATTTTACATCGCTGTGGAGAAGGAGGAATGGAAGTTGGACACTCTTTGCGATCTTTACGAGACTGTAACGATCACGCAAGCCGTCATCTTCTGCAACACAAGGCGGAAGGTTGACTGGTTGACGGAGAAGATGCACTCGCGTGAGTTCACAGTATCTGCTATGGTCAGTAATTGCGGTAGTATCTCAGTTAGGTCCCATCTGATCGCATCTTTTGCCCAGCACGGGGACATGGAGCAGAAGCAGCGTGAGGTTTTGATGAAGGAGTTCCGGTCAGGTTCATCTCGTGTCCTGATCACGACGGATCTCTTGGCCCGTGGGATCGACGTGCAGCAGGTCTCTCTAGTTATCAACTATGACCTGCCGACAAACAGAGAGAACTACATTCACCGCATTGGTCGTGGCGGACGTTTTGGCCGTAAAGGTGTTGCCATCAACTTTGTGACAACAGAAGATGTCAGAATGCTGAGAGATATTGAACGTGAGCACATTTTGCTACTGCCTGATTAATGCTAAGACTACGGGCAGAATTCTACAACACTCAAATTGACGAGATGCCTCTTAATGTCGCGTGAGTTTCTTACTAGGGGATTGATTGGGTCTGGGCTCTGACCAGTGTTTTTCCAGCGACCTCATTTAGATTGCCTTCTGTTTTATAGGCCAGGCTGTTACGATGCTGCTCCGAAATTGTTACGTCCATTCTATGATCGCGAAATTTTTTTGACAGTATGCCATGTAAAATGTTTTGGGTCTGCCAAGCTTATGTTTCAATTTTTTTCCTACTTCTCCTTTGTGTGTTAGCTGCACACATATCTTACCTGTTTGTGGAAATCTTTCTACACGTTGCACTGCACTTGGGCCCCAGATACGGCTTCCTGAGGGACAATAGCCGGGGACAAGATCCATTGGTTCGGAGCAGTACTGTGGTGTCATGCATAGCCCCGACCGCTTGTTTAGTCGTCCCTGAATCTGCCAGTGTGGATAAAAATTCCATTTGATGATCGAGGTCGCGCAAGGCTGTTCGTGAGGTCTCTCACAGTGTACAGACTTTGTCCTACTTTAGTCCAACCAAAAAGCTCTGCTTCCCCTTATCGAAATCACTAAGCCTGAGTCTGACCAACCCCGCCCAAGAGCCGTGCCTTCCCGACGTCCGTTGAGGACGCCGTCGGCTCAGGATCGGGCAAATCTCCAACACTGTCACGCAAGGCTGTTTGTCTGCTAATTTCTTACCTACTTCGTTCATAAATAGGCCATCGATCTCGGTCGGCTAATCTAGTAAGGGTCTCTGCCCCGTGGTAGTACTATTCTCGCACCTATACTACTCCTCTTACCCGAACCACTTTCTTCCTTCAATTTAACAAATTCTAAACTTGTACACTCTCTGCTGCGCTTGTCAAAGTTGTCATGGTGAGTCGTGTTTTAAACTGTCCTTCCTACATTTCAGTACATCCACACTTGCTGGTTGCGTCCCACCTTCGTTTACTTCCCATTATGCTTATATATACTCTAGCACCTGGGGAGGCTCACACTGTCATCACTTAACGGCAGTCACCCTTCTAACATGTCCAACTGGTCACCATCACCCATGTCCCAAATCCCTTACCAGCTCCGAACTCCTGGTGCATCAGAAATATTACCAAGGCTATATGTCTCAGACCTCTCTTTCGCAGAGAACCCTGCCGCCCTCGCCACGCTGGGTATAACCCACATCCTCTCCGCAATGCGTGGATACGTCGCAATACCACATGATCTACCCATACATCGTGCTCAATACCCCCTCGAAGATCTTCCATTCTCCGAGCTCGTCGCCCACCTTCCTTCCGCAACTGCCTTCATCCGCAGCGCACTGCACGATCCCAATGCACGGATTCTTGTGCACTGCATGGAGGGAGTGAGCCGCAGCACAAGCGTGGTTTGTGCATTTCTCATATCGGAGTACGGCTGGACTCCAGCACAAGCTATCCAATACGTCAAAACGAGACGAAGATCTGCCGAACCCAATTTTGGATTTGTACAGCAGCTGCAGGAGTATGCAGACACGTTACGGCGTTGATCTTGATAGTTGCAGAGGGCAGGAAATATGGACAAATGTGCTTCCGACGGCCATCAGAGGCGTGTTAGAAGATTGTTTGCATCACTCCCTTGCATTTACACATACGCAAAAGTTCTGTATCATCTGTATGCCCAGGACACCCTAGCGCAAGATTTCATTGAACATTTCAGATACAGTACGAGTCTCATAATTCTGCGCATCTTCGGCAATACAGAGTAATAACTATAGTCCCATAACCACAGTAGAATAGAGTACAGCAACTTTATGTATAATGTTGCATATAATATATGTCATCACGAACAGCATCCCTGTTTATTTGAGGCTCGATTCAGGGCCACGCTTCCATTTGTTGGCTTTGACAGCTTCACTCCTGGAGACTAATAGACCAACATGATGTCAGAGATGGAAGGTGTCAATTGGTTGTCGACTTGAAATAACACTCACTCGATCATCATCAAAAACGCCATGCTTGATCTTATGGAGAATATCGCGCGATGCTGTCTCAAATGCCGTATCAACGTTGCTCCCTGATTTTGCGCTTGCTTCCAAGAATAGCAACCCCTCCTTTCTCGCCCATTCGTTCGCTTCATCTGTTGAAACTTCTCTTCGTCGACTCGATGACTCTTCTCCTTCCTCATCGCATAGATCAATTTTATTTCCGACCAGTATGCAAGTTAAATGAGGGTCAGCATGCTCTCGTACGTCTGCAAGCCATGACTGCGCGTTAGTAAAACCTGTGTAAGATTATTAGTAGACGACCGGCCGGGGATGAATCGGTCATCCTGGACGCACTTTTGCGGGATGTCACGTCATAGACCAATAAGCAGCCCGCGGCACCACGGTAGTATGACCGTGTAATCGACCTGAAGGACTCGGTTCCAGCAGTATCCCAACCTACATAATAACCCACTACATGAAATACGTGTCAGGAGAAACCGGGAAAGGAGACGGACATTGAAGCTTGACAATCTTCCCTTCTTCGGGTATCTCAATTAGCTTGGAGCCAAATTCTACTCCTAGCTAGGGGTAACGGGTGTGTGTGTCAGATTCAACCTATCAGGCATGTGAAAATCCACGCACAGTTGGGTCGGGGTTTGCCAGAAACCGCTGGTCGGTCAAGCGAACGAGTAAAGATGACTTGCCAACCCCAGCATCGCCTTGTGAATGCGGTTATTGAGCAATCAACCCTTTACCGGAATGCAAGCGTGACACACCTGTAATGATAAATTTCAGGACATAGTGCCAAGTAATTCCTGTCATTAGGGCTCTATGTTCCGTGTTCTTTGGGATAGTCTAGAAAAACAGGTACAACAATTAGGGAACCAAGCAAAGGGTGAGAGTGGACGTATGAGCAACGGCCCCCCATAGTTCCAAATGAATGACCACATTAGGCAATCCATGGATGAACGGACATTTCCGGAAGGTCTCAGCATTTGACTGCACCAGAATTTCGCGAACAGCATTCTTCAACTTCAACGTCCTCCACAATGAGCAGTGCAACTTGGCGAAACTTTTTCACGTTCGTATTCAGTGGACTCCGTCTATTTTCATGCATTGACACGTCTCTGCAGGTACAACAAATATGCCCAAATCACCGCACGGGCTGTTCGACAGTCGTTGAAAGAGTCTGAGCGTGTCGTGGCTGAGAAGAGAGGTACGACCGCTCTAAAATACCAACAATGGGAAAATGGTGTTGGTGGACCGCAGGTGCGCTCTTCATACGTGTTCAATCTTGACCGGCGCATCTCTGATGATGTATTGTTCCACACAGGTACTTCTGAACTCCGAGGAGGCCAAGAAATAGAGAAAAGCACTGCGGTCTAGTTGAACGTCGGCATTTTGCTTGACTAGCGACGGAATGCCTTAATTCCCAATGTGATTATATATCCGAAATAGATTTGCAGGAGGTCTCCCCCGTGGTGCCCGATCAGTGACCGGTTTGCCTATCCCGAGAAGAGGTTTTTTTTTCAATAAACGTTGATGCGTGTTGCCCCGGGTCTCTTGTGCTGTCTGTATTCCTTGGCTCGCAAGCCGCTTCATCGTTGGTGGCTGGGGTTTTTACCACCACATGGCTTACTCCGACGTTTTACGTCCCTGCCTCATACAATGGGCCGCGGGAGGTGATTATGGAATGCGTAACGACAACCAGAGTGCGCAGGTCTGTCTTATCATGCGGACTTCAATTAGAAACGATTTCACAAGACGGCGAGTGTGAAAATTCATTATCTCCGACGCAGATTCAGAACCCGCTAAGCATTGTTTGTCCATGTCACTGGTGTATCATCGGATCCATCTGGAGTCCACTGCCGCTGCAGTCCATCAGTTTGCGGGCACCGATTTTTGGGTGCGAGATGGTATTTTGCTGTTGTGTCTAAGGGTTGTTTCAGCTTCACTCATCGGTCCCGCAATATATCCCTAAATGCAACAAGTGTCACACTTGAAATATCTCGTTACTAGTCGCCATCACATCATACGTTCCAAGGATGGAGTTTTACAGCCCCAGTGTAATATAACATTCAATAAAGAAGGTTCAGCAGTGCCCACATGAATCATTGGTATCGATTGGATACGTTTGCAGGCGCAAACTCTTGCTATGGTGCGTGCATTGTTTGGCTAGTGCTATGGTCATACTGAGGTGATACCTCAGGTCGGAACCACCCGTTGGGGAAGCACCCATTGAGGCCTACAGTTCGAGCAAGGTCTCGGTCGGAGTCGGCAGTGGTACCCCTGTGCCTCGCCCACCCACGGAAAGACTATAAAATACATTTTTTGATTGCCTTTGAGCATCATGACATCGAGATGATCTGACCGTGCACTGCACGGCTAGTAATGCTACAATTGCCAAGCGGAGGCTGGTGCCATGGGTTCATTAGACCTGTTGGCTAGGTGCCTTGAAGAGCTTTGTCGGTTGCTCGCTACCCGTCGGTCCGCTTGCATTTTTTGTGGCTTGCATTCGACATGCCTCTCATTGCCTTTCAACCGTTGTTTCGTAGTGCATGGTAATGTCATTGAGTGGCTATGGTGCTGAATGTCGGGTGGCGTAGAATGATATGCTCCGAGCAGATTGAACAACGGAAACCCATGTGGCTTGTCTGTCTAGCTACCCGTTTACCCAGCCTAGCTTTGCCGCACTTATCGTCGTTTATTAGCTTTGGTTATTTTCTACATATTGATCTTCACCCAAGGTTACCATGCTAAGCGCCGCGAACAGTGCCTTTCTTGATGTCTGCACAACTTAAATAGCATTGCCGCATTGATCGCACACCAAAATGGATTCCAACAGATGCAGTTTTGCAATTGCAGAAGTAAAGAAAAGGAAGGTAGACTCTACGGTATAATGCAAGTCTTTTCTCTTCACAGCAGACACACAGAACAAAGTCCATAGTGCGCGCATAAGCAGCAGAAAAGTAAACCCAAAGTGCATTTATTTCGACACCACGTAACCCTTTCCAGAGTACCCTTCCGATGATATGCCTGTATAGCGAGCAGAATATTAGCACGACCAAAACACATATCCAGACGGAGAGACAGACCGGTGATAGGGTTCGACTTTTGCTCGAGTGCACGTTGATTGCTTGCTTCCTCCCATTCGCGTGTAATCGTTTTCGGTGGAGGTGGAGCTAAGGTCCAGGGGTACATGTATCAGAGATCAAGCATACAAAAAAACCGAGAAAAACCTACACTGTGAACGGATAGCCAAGGTGAGCAATCCAGCGAGACCTACAAGGCCCATGGTGCCAAGGAAAACCTTGAAGCCCTGGCCAGGTGGGCTGACAGGAGCTCGGGGACCATGCGGGCCAAAGGCAACATAGTATGCTATTGATGCACATTACGCCAAAAAATAGCGTTTCGTCGACCCAACGTCATGATAATGCGCGATTTAGTATGAAATAATAGGCCAAAAGGACATCAGAAGACCGGTCAGCGGGAGCAGCCGAAGAGCGGAAGGACAACAACACACCAGCTTTTTTCTCGTCCAAAGAGAGTGTCTTCCAGTCCTTCTTCTGCAACTCCTCGAGCTGCCTGTGGACAACTGCCTGCTCGCTCTTAGATATATTTTCCCATTGTGCCTCAACGTTAGAGAGAGGAATGACAGACGCGGTCACAGACGAGGGTCCGGACGTGGGCACCTGAGCGATGGTCGCCAGACGGCGCAAGGAGACTCTAGGGCGCGCCAGGCGAATGGCTTGCATGGAGGACAATGAAAGCGAGTGTCGGTAGACGGAGGAGAGAAGTTGAGTAAGTGGAAATTAGCGAATAACAGATCGTGGAAAAAATAAGCTCGGCTGGCCCTGCAGCGCACAATCGGCGTGAACCGGGTTAGTGGACACCCTGCAAACCTCCCGCGAAGTACTGACATGCATGAACTGGTACAATGATATTAATGGTGTGATTCAAATAACTGCCAGTATTCTGCAAACATATACGCGTACGGAGTACGTTGTAACTGATCCAAACACTTCAACAGCAAACCAGAAAGAGATCGACATTAAGCAGCTAGGAATACATGGATATCACATCACTCAAGCACCCTCAGCGGCCGTACCGGGACAATCACGAGAAATGTGGCTAAGATGCGGATTAACAGGAGGAACATGAGGACATCTGGACATGCTCACCCTTCTGAACCACACGTGTAGCAGGCGCGCCTCTGAGGTTGAGGGCAGTCGCGGCTGATGTGGCCCTAAATCGGCAGATGTGAACCAAAGAACCATTTATATGCAGAGCAACGTACCACGCCCGAGCAGTTATAGCACTTAGAGCCCTGAACGCAGTCGCGCGACAGATGACCTACACCACCGCAGGTATAGCTGCGTATGGCGAATTAGTACAATGTAAGATGGACATAATAGAGACAAACCAAGTCTTCGAGCCTCCGCCACCAAAAGCAGAATAATTGCCTCCACCTCCACCTCCGCCTCCGTAGCTAGAGTTGCCTCCTGCGGCCTCAGGACATGCGCGTGCAATGTGGCCGGGTTTGCCGCAGCGGTAGCACTCCTGGTTAGAGAATCCCCCACCATAGCTGCCGCCGCCTGCACCAGCGTCAGGGCAATCGCGAGACTGAATCCAATGAGTAAAAAGATCGACCAACATCCTCAGAAAACATACAATGTGACCCTCTTGACCACATTTGTAGCAAGACTTGGCCTTGACTTCCATCGTGCAATCACGAGAAACATGACCCTCCAAGCCACCTGCAGAAATCGTGAGCACTGTGTAAAAATGGACTCAGCAATGGAATAACATACAGTTGTAGCTAAACAAGGTGAGTGAATATGAGACGAAGCACGGCATAAACAAGATCAATAATTACCAAGTAGGAGTCCCTGCCTTGGGGCAGTTAGCAGCTTGATGACCGACTGTCTTCATGAAGATCGGAGGTACGGGACCAAGCGAGGCAGATAATTTGGACGAGCAATGCAGTATATTGCGATTTTGTGCGAGTCGTCGATGATAACATGTGTCATCGGTAGATATGAGCAAAAGAACATAGCGATCCACGTCAGCACCGACAAAAATTGACAATGTAAATAAGAACGAAGGAAAAGCAATGGCTACAGGGCCTTTCCTTCGCCATATCGACGAGGGAATGTTGAAAAGCCAGGGAACAGACAACACGGAAACACCACGCACAGCCTCCACAGTTGAAACATCCACGAGCGCCAGACATTGTCGTATAAAGAATCTGTCAGGGAAAAATCAATGTTAGGGGTCCGTGCACGATTGACGCAGCCGTTGATGGTCTCGACGCGACAAGCATTTTGGACAAGGTATACATCCAAGACAAGATCCGACGTACTTTTCTTCGAAAGGTTACGGAGTAAAGAGGAGGAGGACGCAAAAAAAGCCTCAAGGTAGTGAATGAAAAAAGAAAAGCGCTTCCATAATCACAAACGGCACTTCATCGGGCACGTGCTCATCACATGTTCAACCATTTAGGGAAAACTAAATGTAGTGCAAGCTGCTTCTGCACAGCAATATGGAGTCGTGCCGGTGATAGTAACGATAGAACATTTAGCGACTGAATTATAGTCCCTTGTCTGCGTCCTTCTTACTCGAGTCCTTTCCCTTTTCTGCATCCTTCTTGGCATCCTCCGACTTTTTAGAGTCGCCGTTGACCGTCTTTTTGTCCTTGTCTTTTTCATCTATGCCTTCTTCTTGCTCTGCTCGCCCTATCGTGGCCTTGTTGTCAACCAGAGCATGTAACGCGATGACAGCACGTAGAAGACTACTCAGATACACCACCAGTAGTTGATCATTTGTGCTCGATGCGAAGCTCTGTGTTGTCACCGGATTGCTCAAGTCAGGAAGTAGGTTGAGTGCGTCTTGCAGGTGGTAAATAATTTGGTGATTGACTGGCATCGTACCAGCTGCAACATCTAGCAGATACTTGTGCACATCTCGTAGTCGGGATTGAAGACCTTGAAGTGATGCGAGTTGTTCAGAAACGCGTGTTGAGAGGGTGGTGGTGGTTGAGTCTTTGATATCGCGTAGGAGATGTTCGACACCGATCTCCTCAGCTTCTTCAGCCTCGATTGCGGAAGGGACGTGAAGGAATGTCTTCCGTGTTTCTGTGCCGTCCTGAAGCCATAAAATCGGTACAAGCATAGATAGCAAAGGAGGAAGAGCATACGTCTTTGATCTCTTCTACTGCAAAGTATGCATCCGTCGGAATTCCGACGGCCTGCGGTCGTACATCAACGATAACCATAACTGGTTTCGCAATGTACCGCTTAAAAAGATCATTAATTTCCTGGTCCGAAGCTCGTAGTTTTGGCCCCGTGTGGTACCACCCGATCATCCGCTCCTTTGCTGCAATTTCACATAGCATCTATGATGGTTGCTCAGGTAAAGAGGAACGCACCGTTGACTTTCTTGAACATATCGTACATCCCCTCAATATAGTTATGGTCTAGGAACCACGTCTTGCTATCTCTTTCATCCTCCTCGAACGGGATTCCAAATGAATTGGCAACGTTAACGGTCTTACCGTTGTCCTGGCCCAAAAGAACGCCGACAACACGCTTCGATGAGGTGCGCGAAACCGTGCGTGCATGGTGATCAGTAACAGAGAGTAGGACCAATGGGTGAACAACTAGAAGTGTTAAGTATATGCGGGGGGTTTCGAACGAGTGGTTGCTCACCAACTGTCGTTCCAGCAAGTGCTGTTAACTGCAAATTGAATGAGTATCACAATGTTCAACGTGTTCAACATTAACGACTCGCCTGCTCACTTGTTGATGCCACCATGATCTAAAGTGCTAAAGCTAAAGGCCTTCATGACCGCGTGCATTGTACGGACGCGCGTTGTGTTGACATATATTTGTGCGGAATCTCATTAGGGCAGTTGCTGCGAGGCACACAACGTTATCCTACTACCCGTTCTGCCAATGAATTGACTTACTGATTCTGTTGAAGATGGATTTTAATCAGGATCACTTTCCGAACGTTACCAAAATTTATGTGTAACTTTTTTCCAAACACTGGCAGTACTTGTTCTACGAACGACCCTGGGAAGGCATCAAACGATTGCTGTGCGTGCTCACGGGACGTACTACATACCGTCTGACCAAGATGTGACTCCTCGTCCCTTAAAAACTGTTCTACCCTAGTGTATACCCAGTTGCTGCCATATTCTATAGATGGATTCTCTCCCAATGCGATCGTGTGGTGGAAGGCGGAAACTTTACTACCACATTCAGGTTTCTGGCAAGTAAATCGCAATGATACATTCCGCAGGATGCTCACCGTGCCGCATAGATATCAGCGTTTCCATAGAACCAGACAATCCTGAATTTCCGCCTGGGCCTTATAAATGCTACGTGGAGGTCGGCGTCGACACTGTTCGCAAGCGAACCCAAGTCTCCACCCCCGGAAAGTACGCCTGGAATGAGTCATTTGAATTGTAAGCGACATTACCTATCGTGTGGATGATCATAGTTCAACAGCCCCCTCTTCAATAGCTTAGTGAGGGAGGATTGGTCCATATGCATTGACTTGATAGCAAAACACACTGTGTTATCGTGCGGTATGCTGAGTTGGCTGTCCAAGGACGTGCCGATTGCATCATCTCGTGACCATGTGCAGTTACCTACATCAACAGAAACAAAAGGTCCTGCGGCCCTCATAAGTCATCATAAACATCCACTCACAGTTTTCTAGTCGTCTCACAAAATTTGAGACATGTGCATGTACGAGGGCGGGATGGAGAACCTTCCATATACCAGGCTAGCGTGTCATTGAAACTTCAGTTGGTAAACCCAGATCCCATCACTGACCCATCATCTTCGGTTCATCTCGAAGAGTCATTTATCGAGGACGTCGGTGAGCTCATTGCAGCACCAAATCTCTCCAATACAGAGCTTGGAGCATTCAGCGAGGTCTGATCTTCTGTCTTCTTAACGAACATGTATGTTAAATATGCTCAAGGTGCTTCGACGTCCCAGCCTCGGTTTTGGCTGCCATTCTTTTTCAGATTGGTCATCTTTTGTAGTCTCGCTTCACAGTTGTGAAGATGATAGCCTTGCCTCCCCCAACTCCCCACACGCCGATCACGATGAAGTATTGGTGTCTCCTATTTCCGATTTGCCTCAAGGAGATCGTTTCCCTCCGAGCCCTAGAGAGCTGGATGACGCGGAACAAACTTCTGTCTTAGAAGCGACTCTTACAGATCACACACAGAAGGGCGATGTTAACGGTGGGGAACTGCCTGAAATAGATCAATCGTCGCCCGCCGACACAGTATATTCAGGAACTTCTGTGGCGAACGTCAGTTTGTTTACATGGAGATTTTGAAGCCTTGCCGAACTGACATTTTCGACATGCAGGATACTGGACCTCAAAAAAGACACAAGTTATCTATGAAGGCATTGAGCATTCGCTCCAATCGTAGTGCATCGTTGAGCGGGATGCGAGATCGCCATGCACTTTGGGGACGAATCAGATCACTATTCAGCTCGCGCACACCCCAGAACGCCGAACGTATCCGACCTATATTTTTACATTCAAGTCAGAACTAAATCATAGTTCCACATCCTCGACATATCTCTTTCATTCTAAACAACCACCTTGTCAATGGGAGACGGTCGGCAATGGTGTACGACTTACGGGCCGATTTCTCAAGGATTCTTCGCAAGGTATTCTTGGATACCATCCACAATGACACTATGGTCGTCTTCCTGCGCGAGACCACTGACCACTATCACTCCCACGACCCCCTCTACGCCCTCTACTTTCACCGGAAAACCTCCGCCGTGCACCGCATATATACTTGGATCGCTCATCTCATATACTTCTTGGAGTGTCTTTGTTTTGGTCTGCAACGATAATCTCATGCGCATCGTTGAGCATCCCCAACGGAGCACCACTGCCTCCTTGCGCTTCACCCAGTGCATATTGTCGGGAAGTGTACCAGGTCCTGAGGTGGCGAAGAAGAGGAGCTGGGATGAGTTCGCGTGCGCGATATAGATGACGACGGGGCGGGTAAACTTTTTTTGGACATTGGCGCGGATGATGTGTCCGATCTCCCAGGCGACATTACTGTCGAACGAGGGGAGGCGGCATGCTTCTTCTTGGGTAGTAACCGATTCAACCTTGAATGCCTCAGCTGTGACGTTCATATTAATGTAATGTGTTTACGACTCACCGTGAGCGACATGGTAGCGGACAACTTGAGTTCAGACTGTTGGGAAATATCAGGAAAGGTCAGGAGTCTCTTATACAAACTCAAGGATTATTTGACGTGTGCCACGGGAATTTATGTATGCTGCAATTGGCTCAATGGAAAAACAGATAGAGCCAGCAGATGAACTTTGGATGTCAGGAGGGCTCGCCTACGGTCCGCACTTCCGAGGGGGGAATAATCGCGCCGATTCTAAAATCAACTTACTCTTGAACAAGTGACTCGTAGGAGATGGGTTTCGTGTCAAGCCGTATCCTCATTTCATGCTCGGAAAGTAGCATGAGCACCCGGAATATCTGCCGTGTATGACCTTAAGTGCAGGACCAAGGGATCTTTGCGTAGTGCTTCTGGCGTCTGAAGATTATCAACACCAGGTATCAGTTAACTCAGGTGACACCAGCGGTGGCAAAGATGTGGTATAAACCACCTCTTTCTGTCTGCCTCCACATGCTTTCGTCGTGCCTTCACTACCGGGTAATCACCTTCCATAGCACTCACAGGAATTGAGGTTTCCATCTCTTCCTTACTATATTCTTTGATGGATCGGTCTCGATTGATCCACGGGTTTCCGCAGAAAAAATGATTGAGCGTCGAGGTGTTACTCGACCATCAAGCTTCAAGGAAGTTGATGATTTGATACGTGCATCGGACGGCTCAGGACAGGACGCAACGCCGTGCAGCACATGAGAGATCTGGAACTCATGATGGGTGATGGTATACACAATCGGGTAATATACACATGACAGTATGGCCACATGCTGTCTAGATGGGAGTGCGGCAGTAATGGCCGCGCGAGGAAACTAGCAAGAAAGGACGTGAACAGTAGCTGTGCGTATCCAAGATATCTGAATGATAACAAGTCTCCGGTCATCACCGGAAGGACGACATTAGTAAATACTAGTTTCAAATAAAAATCTAGAAACTGTATGGCGCAATTCGTCTGATGCACTTTGGCTTGGGCTTCTTCCAGTCATCATCCTGCGGACTCGCCAGTTGCATGAGGAGCCTGTCCCTAAGAGGTAGGCCTGCATTGATAATATTACTGCTCTCAGATTGTCCATGATAGGGAGGATAGTGTGGACACTGATCCCTTGGCACGTTGATGGGCCAGGAATGAAGGTAACACATTTCCTAAGGAAGGCGTAAGATGTATATAAGCAGCACATAAAATCAAGACATTTACCTCAGGCCTACAAGCTGGGTGACACTTGACCCACACGCTCCAATCTAGCCATGTCATCAAAGCACCTAATTCTTGCCTCCACGAACTCATCAGGCGAGCCATTTGCTCAGCGTCCGGAGTGGAGTCGCGGGGGAGATATATATCAAGTCCTGCGAGGACGCCGGAAACCCACATCTTTGTAACAACGCGACATATTTCACGCGAAGTCTTTTGTACTGCATGCAACAGAAGGCGTTCTGAGGGGTTCAGGCTCGAGATGTATGATAGGATTGATGATGTGTGCGCGGTCCCGCATGCTTTGAACACTGGTGTTGCCCAGGAATTAGATGAGTCATGCGATGCGCTGGGAGGCACAGTAGAGTGGAAGATGTATGGTGTGAGCATCACGCGCAACTGGACATGTACCTGCAGTGCTGGGTCCACGATTGAGTCATTTTCTGAGTTGAGAAGGTAGTCGATAAACTCGAAGCGCTCCGAGTAACGTTCCATGATAACTCTGAAAAGGGTTTTCCAGTCGATGCCACTAGTATCACCCTGATCTCGCTCTAATATGCGAGAGACGCTACGCCTGACCGCCTTGATATCCGCAGAAGATATAGCTTTCATGTCGTGGTCGCACCGTTCCTGGCCGTCGCGTGAGCCAACGAGTGACGGTGCTAGGGTGGTGTCGTACAGTGAGACGATTCCAGCCAGATCAAGGGTTATTCGTGTATCCCCGGGGTATCGATTGTGCCACGACCCTGCGTGCATCACTTCGAACATGCGTAGCACTAGAAATATACATTAGGAAGACACAAGGAAGGCGAAAATTACAGAGACTTGCTGATAAAGTTAGGTATTCTTGGGACTGCAGACACCGGTTCGGCGATGCTAGCAAGGTGAGACCAGGAGACGACTTCCAGGCCAGCTGTAAAGTCACAGAGCATGACTTCACTTCGCAAATCAATCAGTTGGAGAGCACAAAGCGAAATTCAAGAACATACAAGTCCATTTCCATTCTGTAAAAGAGGTCGATACGTGATGAGATGTTGCTAGATAAATTGGCTTACCGAACATAACCATCGACAGCGTACGGTGCTCCCCATTTGCATAAGTCCATGAGGCGCTGGTTCTCCTCAAAGTGCCAATCAGGTCTCAATTCTCCCCATGCAATGATATCCTGAGTATCAAGAGGGCCAATTATGGTATTAGCTGCGCTAGTCCCATCAAAGTAAAGGATTTTGAGGGGACGAGTTGTTGCAAGTGTCAAGTGCCAACATCCTGTATCGGGAGAGCCATTGCAGAAGAGGACGGAGTGTTCTGGATCTGTGGCTGTCCAATCGGGAACCGTAGGGATTGTGTTATTGACAGCTCCATGATACAACAAGGTGCCCTTGGGAATTACACCGGGAACCATTGTATGGCCTAGTAGTAGGTCGCGGCAATAACAATATGTGTCAGACATTCGTCAGTGCCAATGTTAAGATAAGGACTGACCATTTCGATAGCGCGTGTTCGGCCAATGCTGGAGCAGCGAATTTACAGTTTCAAAAACAAAGTGCCCTGTTTCGTTAGCAGGAGGTGGCTCGTCAAGCCGCCAAGATGAAAGGTCGAGGCTATCATCCGAGTCAAGAGAGTTGTATGGTTGAGTTATGGTAGAAGTTCCGAGTTCCAGTGACGGCTTGCCATCAGGCGATAAACCCAACGGGACTTGTGCTGCTAGTGACGGTAAGACAAAGCATGCAACAAACCTCAAAAACATCCTGGACTACTACGTCGGCTAGATAGCTATCGCAGTGACTGCTGGAGTAGTACTCTGCAATGCCAGCGCACAGTGATTATCAGGGATGCGCAGTAACCAGTCGCGCGTTTTCGCCGTCTAAGAATGGGAACATCTGTCAAACTTTTACATAACTATCCTTTGAGCGGAGACATATAATATATTGCTTACCTAGGGCTGTGGCGCTGCCTCATTCACACAGCTGCAGCATGGCTTTCATTCCTTATATGTGCTCATCAGCCGTGCGAGCATGTAACCTTTATTTTATGGCCACGCAGATCTTTTTTGTGTGTATATAGGAGGATGATATCATCGCGGCGCGTCCTCGCCGGTGAGCGTGTCGCGACTTCACGTGACTATGGGATTCTTGAAAGACGTTCATTTCAAACAGCCGTCGACTCGGAAGCTCCTTCTAATGATCTTCTTTCTCCATGGTATAGGCAATATCAGTATATGGATAAACAAGTAGAAGGACGGTCATTAGACTGTGATGTGTTCATCCGCCTCCGGCTCGTCGAGGCAGCCAGCGAGCTAATCGACACGTCGACACATCGTCGCTGTTCACTGAACAATATACCCCCAAGTGCACATCAGTATATTCGTTCGGTGTTCGCATAATACGAGGCTCATAACATGCATGGTCTGCGGTATCGATCATGCAAACTCCAGTGGTGCGTCCAATTCAACGACTGTGCCGTATGATCTTGCGAAAAAATATCCTTCGTACAGCGTTGGTCGGGATTCAGGACAAGTAAGCTCATGAAACCTGCATACAAAGAATTCTATACTCATACCTGTCAAGTCGAAAGAGAATAGGCATCACTTTGCACCACCAAACCTACCACGCTGTCAACAATCGCTGACAATAGGAAATGGCAGGTCCGCGCGTAGTCTTCACTCGAATTTGGAGCATCTATGACTCGCCACAGATTCACTATTTTGTTCCAATACCGGTTAACCACCAGGTAGTTGTCGATGTGCTTTGGCCATGCCCAGTATTTAAAGTGGCCGTCGTCACAATAATATCGAAGCGGACGTGAACAACTCATCTCTTCCCGAGGACAATGATGCAGATCCAACAACAATGTATTCCCGCACAGTGGTGCAGGGTATGAGCGTTCTGTGTGGCTTGATGCTGGGATGTCTCATGCCTTCGATACGGTGGAAGGACAAAAAGCGTTCAACTTCACTCTGACTGATGACTATTCAAAGGTCCTGTTTTTCGAGTGACTCATCTACACCTGCCTTGAGACCAATTATAACCCAACCTTCGCATCAAACTAGTTCCGACACATGCAAATTCAAGGTTTGTCTTTGGTCATTGTTCCATTTGCGGTTAGCTAAAGCAAGGTTCACCTGCTCAGGACGAAGTGGATTACGACCCGAACATGTCATATTTTTGAGTTCCGTCGTGTAATCTGGGGGACATACTGAAGCATGGGAGTGGGTTCCTAACAACGAACGTATCTTGGTGATGTCCTAATTTCTCAGTAACATCGAATTTCATTCACTTCAGTGGTCTCGCTTGTTATTCGAAAAAAAAATAGGACGTGTGTAGGTTTTAGTGGATTCTCACAACTTGCTACGTTTTTCTGCGAGCGCCTTCGCCGTTATTTTGAAAGGGTTGTGGCGTATACATGTGAGAATGACTCATCGGGAGGTTTTTTTTTAGCTTTGCGCTTTCATTTGGATCTTTGTCCTTTCGTGAGAACCACATTTTCCAAGTGCCGCAGCACATGGTTCTCATGTCTTATATATAGTAACCAATCCACAGGGCATCAGTGTAACTAGTCCGCAGCCTTTGTCCCAGTCATGACGAGTAAACACGACACGTGCTGAAAGTCACCTCGAGTCTGGGATACCTGAGGATACCTGTTGCGCCCGACCAATTAGGGAAGGTGTTCTTTCAGCGTTGAGTCTCGGGTGCCGGTGAAGCTCGCGGACCTCTGAAGCAGGGACATCAGTGGCGTAACTGCTGGTGGCGTTTAGACTTTACAATGGGGTTGGTACAAGAACATGATTTTTGGTTTACAGCGGAATACTGCGACAGTACTTGCAACTGCCGTGCATTATGGAGGGATCCTGGGTTGTTCCGCTCCGGGTGAATAATGTACTAATAATTGATTTGATAAATTCGAGGTTTGTTTTTATATTAGTCTTCCGTAGGCAGATCACGGAAGTCAGTTGTTGCTTCTATCATCATCAACGACTTGCTTCCATTGGGAGACTAACCTGTATGCGTATCGATATCTACTTTGAGGATCTTTGAGAGCTGCACTGTAGAGGGACTAGAAGATCTGGTCTAGACAAACAGCCTTTGTTCCGTTCCCAATCATGACCTGGCATTGAAAACGGTGTCAATTGAACAAAGTCGCCTTCAGAGTGGCGCACGGGTGTAGTACGGCTTGGCGATCCCATCCGAGTCCATATCATTCAGGATATCACCGAAAAGACAGCGCAGCAAGCTAAAGTGCTGGGGTCGTGAGAATAGCAGACATTTCCTTACACGCGCTACGCATCAAGGCATCGATCAACGCATTCACGGTTCACCAAACGCGTGATGGGAAAGAATTTACCTTACGTAGAGGATACCGATCTTTGGAAAGTTAAGAGGTTCACTATTACGAAAGTTGGCGTGGTTACGGCGCAAACTGATATACAAATGGACGAGCGGCAAGATACTGGGGACGTGAGACTGATAAGGGGAGTGCCAAGAAGCGAACATCCGGAGTTTGAGAGAAGCGCTCTGGTGAGACACAATAGCGGATGCTGACAAAGGAAGAAAAAAAAATCAAATATTAAATTAGTTTTGTCCATGACGGCATTGTGTAAAATTAAAGTTTATTTTACATGATAAAAAAGGGGTTACGTTATTTTGATCGGGGGGATACGCAGTAATCTGGTTTTTTTGGTGTGTAACGCTTCTCTTCCTCTTACCACCATCACCCATCCATTCACTCACTCACTAAGGCCCCTCCTTCGCTGGTCGACTTAACGAACTCAACAACTAATGTTTTATAATGTCTGATACTTCACATTCACACAATTACGGTACAAGAATAAGGAACAATTCAATCCTTAAACCGAGCGCTCGTCTTCGTCAATCACCACAACCAAGGCGTATAAAACCAGTACCACATCCAACACAAACAGAATCAACTCAAAATCAATCTCAATTTCCAATATTTCCACTACCAAATGTCATGCTACACCCAGAAGACGCCACCAGCAAGGTATTTCATGCTATCGGTCGTTGCTTCCTCAGCGTGGTGAGTCCCTTTCCTCGTTCCCATTCATACCTTCACGCGTGTATCTCTAGGACAATCGTGCGATGACGATCAAGGACCTTGCGGAAATGACTCTAAACTTCGGCCTCGTGTGTCAGAAGTATGTTCTCCTTTCTTTCCTCTCTTCACTCTACTCACAACACCCTAGTGTTTCTGCTGCGTCGCAAGCAATAACTACTTACATCCGAAATCATCTCTCTCGATGCGAGGCTCAACAAGATCACCCCCTTCTTCTTCGACATACCCTCTCTGGCACACCCGCTGACGACGATCTCGTTTCTGCACTGCATTCCCGTGTAGGAGGCGCACCCCTACAAAGGCAACCACTCGACACCACGTGTCCAAATCAGAACATTCCTACCGGTCGCCGTACAAACTTTCGTCGTGGCACAATCGTATGGTATCTTTCAAAAGCTAGTGGCGTCTCCTGCCCTTTTTCTCGTGCTGGTATTCTCCTTTCAAATTATCCCGCTTCCACTTCCAATACAAAGCCTCGAAAGCAATCTCACAGTTCAATGGAAAAGTGCGGAGAGAAACGCAAAAGACTCATTTCAAGACGCTGTCGTGCCACTGACAGACTCTCAGAGAGCGCCAGTCCACCGCCCAGCTCCAGTCCTGTAGATAGCGGTTATGCAGAGAGTGCCTCCAGTTCTTCTGACGAAGAAGAAGACGAACCTGAAAGACCTCCAAAAGTCAAACTCACCTTACGTCTCCGTCCCTCTCCCACTACCACAGATCCCACAGACATCATTGATCTCTCCCATGATACTTCCTCTGACGATGACGTCGACATGTCCCCAGCAGAGCCCGATATCAGCCCAGAACCATTTTGCCTCCCACCCTATCCTCGCAGATCAATCGCAGTCCCATGTTACACCCCCATATCCCCTCCCTCCCTTCAATACATATTTCCCCCGCCACCCATCGACCAATCCAGAGGAAGCGCATCACCTCCGCCCGATTCTGATCACGAGGAGGATATCGACTTCGATTTCTCAAGCGATGAAGAGGAATCTCGAGGTGTGAGCGTGAAAGTAGAAGACGAAGGAGAAGATAACAGTATTGGCCCAAGTCAGAACGTGAGAGACATGCTAGATGCTTGGGAGGACCTAGATCTCAATCGTGCGCGGTCATATTCATCCCCAGAATCTGGGTTCGCTTCGGTGGCGCGGGAAAACGAAAGTCGCCATGCAGTCGCTCCAGAGGTCAAGGTTGAGGAACTTGAGATGTGGGAATGGGAGTTTGATAGTGGCTGGGCGGGTGCGTGTGGGGAGATTGAAGTCAAGAAGGAAGATGCTCCAGAGGCACTGAATGGGTTATCGTTGTCGCCTACGAGTATGCCATGGAGTGGGTTCCCACTCTCTCCTATGTCGCCACTCACCCCTTCTCCAACATCCCCGGGTTCGAGCACGGGGTTCATGTTCCATCATTCGTCGGCACTGCCTGGATCTCCAAGGGTCAATGTTTCCCCTCTTCGGCCCACGCATTCAAAGAAACCGTCCCTGGAACGCAAGAACAGCGTGCTGGACTGGCAAGACGCAGAACTGCTTGGTCCTGATAGTGTCCACATTACCGAGCTCGAGCTAGAATGGGAAAAGGGAACTCGGCGGACACGATTCGTATCACCCGCACCTAACACTTCTTTATCACCAGGTGAAGACTGCCAAATGACTGATCCCGAGCCTCTCCCTGAACGCAAAGACCAAGTAGTAGTAGTCCACACGTGCGTACCGTGCGATCCACCTGTTAGCGCTACACAGGTCGAAGGTAAGTCACATTTCATTTCGTCTTGATTCTTCTCTGTCTGTTGTCTGTATCGGGCATTAATTGA